TCGGGTGTAGTGGAGTCTCATCCATAACTCTTAAGTGGGATTTCTTTGACGGAGAAATTTGAATCTGTCCTGTTGAGAGTTGGTAAAAGTCCAGGGTGAAACTGTTGTGTTCAGTCAGCTTTAGCTCAGAACTGCGTTGGATTTGTGACTAAAGAATCAGGAAGTCCAGGGTCTGAGTCACTCCCCAGGACACCTGGAATCTTCCCTGGGTATCAGAGGAAGGTGGAGAACTGGCTGAAGGTGGAACCCAGCTGGCAGCCTCCTCCAGACTGTGAGACTCTCAGCTGCCCAGAGACAGACATGGCTGGTGTGGGTTGGACTCTGCAAATTGCTGCACCCAGGAAAGAACCAAGGCATTACAACAGGTGCCTGTCGTTCAAAAGACTACACACTCCGCTTCACGTGACCTCAACCAGGCAGGCGCACTGCCGGTTACACGCATGACCCGTTCCCTTAAGGTTGATGATTAACTCCGCTTCAGCAGCACACAGACCCAATATGTGATCCCTCACACTACAATTACCAGCAGCCTTTGGAGACATCAAACAAACTTTTTGTTCACACACACACACACACACACACACACACACACACACACACACACGTGCGCTCACGCACACACTCCCCTCACCACTACCATCACTATCCCTCTCCGTGAGACCAGAAGAAACACACAGGCTTTGTTATGAAACTTAGTCACAGGAAAAGAGAAAAATAGTTGAATTTATGTGGCTTTAACCAGCACTTAGCACTTCAACATTTTTCTTGAGGGGGAGAGCAAGGGTACTTGTTAGATAAAGAAAATAATGAAAGGGCTGCCAGTTAAACCCGGCAGGATCTAGATAGCTCACTGCCCTCCTGCTGGCTCACCTGGCCCTCAGTCAGTGTTCAGGTGTGAAGACCGGAAGAGTCCTGGAGTCCCCTGCAGTTATTCTGCGGGAATTCTCAAGTAAGGACGGGTTTAGCTGTTTCTAGGGATTCAAGAGATGGGCTACGCCCTGCTAATTGCGGTGTCACAAAGGGACTCAGCAGCAGCTGCTTAGGGGAATTTTGTTCATTAGATAAATCAGTGACTCGTAATGACTGGGGCCAAAAAACAAACAAAACAAAACCAGAGGTGATTGCAGCACTTAATCCTCCTTATTCCAGACTTCTTTGCTGATGAAACCCCATGCCCCCTGACCCCTGACCCCACAGTCTGCTTCAGGTGGCCCTTTGGGCTGTCTTCATGAGTGTTTTCCCTGGGCTTGTCTCAGGAAATGGCTAGAGTTTTTACTCGCGTAAGTGAGCTTAGGTAGAATAGCACCCTCTTGGCTTGGCACTATGCCAAGAATCTGTAACATTCTATCATGCCTCCGCTACATCCAGAAGAGGCGTCCTGGGACAGCAGACCCATATGAGGACCGGGGGTGACCGGTCACGACTTGTTCTAAAAGTGACAATATGCATCAGCTGTCCCTTTCCCTGGCAGGCTCAGGCGGTGACACCACAGGAGCAAGCCACAGCGATTCCGTAACCGTCAGTGGTGTTTTCCTTGGCCTGAGCAGCTTGCTTGATTAACACACAGGGGGCAGATGGAGGTCACATGAGAAGCAGATGAGGCCAAGAGCAAGGAGGACCGGGCAGACTTCTCCAGGGTCTCCGCCAGTCTCACCCATGAGCCAGCGAGCAGGGCCCTTCACTATTGATGGATGCGCTATGAGGTTTGCAGGAGGCGGTCAGGGGTAATTCATGCATAACACATTTTCTGTGCTCACTATTAGCATTCCAAGAGAGGAAGGAAGTGTCTTAGATACCATCTCTACATCCTGAACTTTTTATCCTCCAAATATACTACAAAGTTTTTGTTTTGTTTTGTTTTTTGTCAAATGCTGGGGTTGCAGGGTGGAACTGTCCATGGGGAAAGGTGTAACACATTCAGATCCAGTTCTGTGCAATGGTGTGGACCTTCTAAAGGAATCAGCCAGCTGCCTTTCAGTGGAACCATGGAATGGCAGGACTCGGGCATTTGGTGACCGCCAGACTTAGCTGGTGAAGGTACAAGGTCCTATCCCGGAGCATTACATAGTAAGAGCCCAGGATTTGCAGGTGTGCTGGGGGTGGTTAGTTCTCCCTTGCACCAGGCCTCTGACGCCTGACCCCAGTTTGGGGGATCCTGACCCAAGTGGCCCAGAGCACCCTTGGCATCAGCATGAGGCTTGCAAACCGTAGGCAGGCTTGGTCCTGGGAAGAATGCCACAGTCTGGCTCCGTAGCCAGCCGTGCTCCGCCCTGGTCACAGTGGCTTTGACCCTGAAGTTCAGCCTAAGGGATGGTGATGAAAACTTGAAGTAGGGGTAGAGGAATTAATTGGGGGTTATCAATCCCTATGGTGAGCTCACAGCAGAGCCCCGAGGCTCCTAAGGACTCTGGGGTCTTGAGACCTTAACCATTAACTAGGAACTAGCTGCCTGGGCTGGCTGGACAGATGCTATCTACAGAGCAGCTGGTGCCAATGTGTACATAGGGGCCAACCTTTGGGAGAGGGCAATCAGCCAGACCTCTGAAGAAAGGAAGTTGAGAGAGACAGGCTGTCACTCACTGGACTGGACCCGGCAGACGTGCTTGGTGTCTGTGGGCAGCATGCGTCAGGGTAGGACAAAGAAAAATCTCTTACTGGAAAAATCCATGCCAGTCCTTTGATGGGCCTAGTGCCAGTCTCTGAGGGGGTAGAAAGGTCATGCCTGTGTCTCCATCCTGCTTGTCTGGGAGTTTGTGATGGGAGCAGGTTCTGGGAAGTTTTGTTCAGTTGTGACATGGGTGGCTGTAGGAGATACTGTTGCCCTCAGACACTCTTCAAACCCTGGGTTAGTAGAGTTGGCACCTAGCAGCCCTAAAAAGCCACGTGGGCCACCGACAGACAAGTCGTAATGAGACGCCGAGAAAGGACATTTATTCAGTATGTCCACATGAAGAAGAGACAAGCAAAAAGGCACAGTGACACCCCCAAGTTCATCTTTGGGGTACCCTTCTAGATTTAAAAAGAAGTAAGAGATGAGCAGTCCTGATCAGGGTGTGACTCCCCTGTCCTTGTCTCAGATGCCGAGAAGGTGGTAGGTGAGTTGTCAGAACTGGGGGAGTTTCTTCTCGGGAGACAAGCTTTGGCTCCAGCTGGTCCCTGCTGAAGATGAGATTCTAGGGAAATTCCGATTTCTTGGTGCCCATTGTCTCTTCAGAAAATCTTCTTTCCTGTGGGAGCAAGAGCACCCGGAGGTGGCTCCCACCCCCACCCCGGGTCAGTTCCTGCAGGGGAAGGCTGAGCCTGTTGAGATTGGCAGCCGTGCCAGCCCAGGCCAGCATCCCACTCAGCTCACCCTGGCCCTTTGCGAAAGCACTTGTTCTGGTGAACAGGAAGTCATTACTGCCGGCATCTGGTGCCGGTGATTTCCCACGCTGCTGAGATTTCTGATGTAGCTCCCCACTAGAAAAGTAATGGTCACACTCTTCCACAGATGAGCCGTGTCCCTCTTTGTTTGCCTTAAACCTGCTTGTTAATTAGAGGAAAAATGTGTATGCCACCAGCCCAGAAATCAGGAAACTGCACGGTTGAAAGAAATCAGTTCATACTAAATGCTCGGTACTGATTAGTTTATGTATGAGCACACAGAACTCTCCCCACTTCATGTGGGCTGCACAGTGTGTGTGTGTGTGTGTGTGTGTGTGTGTGTGTGTGTGTGTGTATGTCTGTGTGTCTGTCTGTCTGTGTCTGTCTGTGTCTGTCTGTCTGTGTCTGTCTGTCTGTGTGTGCGCATGTGTGTGCGTGTGTATCTATAGAACTGAGGACTACAGTATAAAGAAGCCCATCCTCTGGGGACAGTCTTGCACAAAAGGTTTGCCAAGCTTTCCAAGTGAAGCTGGGGTCTCCTACCCAAGTGCACACTCCCAGGTACCATAGGCCATGGAGGTGCTGTGTGAAGAACTGTCTTCACTCCTGCTAGACTGTGTGCATATGTTTGTACATGTGTGTGTGCCCATGCACACACACACACATGCCAAGGGGAGACAAATCCTTCACGGTACATTCCAGCAGACCCAGGGAGTTGCTTCCCACGAGTTAACATGAGTTCGGAGTTGGAGTCTGGGAGCCTTCCCGGTGTCCACGGTGGCCCTGTTTCAACCTTGGTCCTGGTTTAGATCTCTGCATTCACGTCGGTTTTTATTCTTTCTCCTTCTTTGCCACCAGTCACGGTTGAGGCGGCAGGATGTAGGCCTGAAGACTCACCTGGACCAGCTGGACCAACAGATAAGCGAACTGCAGCTGGATGTGAGCAGGTCGTCCTGCGAGGCCCTGGACAGTGACAGCAGGCCCAGCTCGGGTACGGCTGATGGTGCTGGACACCCTAACACAGGTGTCACAGACCTAACGCTGTGGACAGCCTGTGTCCTCAGCTGATCTGACACCTGAGGTCCCCTGAGCAGCCTGGGAAGTGGATGTGACTAAAGACATAAAAAGCTATAAACACGCTGAGAGAAAATACAAATATAACAAACATATGAAGTTTAAATATAATATATAAGCTAAAGAGTTTACATACAGTACAGTTTATACAGTGGCTTACACATATGTAAACTACCAGCTGATGGATTAAATACCCCAGGAGCTCCTGGGTTTGCTGGATGGCCGTAAACCATGCTGCAGATCACCTACGTCATTTACATCAGTTTAACTGGCCCCTCCCTCCCTGTGCACCATCCCAGACCTCCTCAGAGAAGGTCATTGTTGGCAGTCTTTGCTGGCTTGTGTGACTCTGGTGGTCACCTTTGCTTTCTCAGTATGCTCCAGGTGAAACTTGGCAACAGGGATCCCTGTGTCTGGGTTACAGTGGTCACAAGGTATCTGTGACAGCAAGCCCGGGGTATGTGGAGTCCCCTTGGCCCTCTGGTACTTGGCTTTTGCAGTCTAACATGGGATGTGCTACCCCAGCAGTCCCTGGGACTGAGGACTCCCAGGAAGGAAATGCCCCATGCAGTTGCGTGTTAAAGAAAGGAGATACCTGTAGCAAAGGAAGCTCTCCTTCTGAGCACAGCTATAGGGTTCAGGTGAGGGTTCAGGTGAGGTAGGGTCAGTTGTTTCTGTAGCCACTCGCAAGGTTACCAGCAAGAATCTAGAACATTCTTGTTGTGGACCTGTCCCCACAGGCATTCTTAGGAGCCCCTCACCACTCCCTGTGCCAGGAAAAGCAAAAGAAAAAAATCGGAGTCTTAGGGTAGAGCCCGCTGGCCAGGGGCGCACTGACCGCTGTGTCTGCTCTGTCTAGGCTTCTACGAGCTGAGTGACGGTTCCTGCTCCCTTTCCACCTCATGTGCATCTGTCTGCAGTGACCGCCTGTCCCCCTCACTGGGCAGCTGGCTGCCTGTGCTCCATTCCTCTAAGTCCAGGTCTGGCATGGGGGACTGGCGACCTCGCTCTGCTGATGAGACCACTGTCCCTGCATGGAGCCCACAGCCCAGTGGAGAAGAGAGCAGGTTCCCGCATGGTGCAGAGGACACAGACCGCCCGAGGGGCATGTTCCGGCCTAGACCGGTGTCTACAGGTGAGAGAGAGGGGCGGGGGAGAGAGCAAGAGTGCCATTTGGGTGAGAAGGATAGCAGATGATGGTACCTGGGCTCAGTGGGGAAGAGGCTGACCCACATGGATGGAGCAAGTGTGTGTGTCTGTGTGTGTGTGTGCACGTATGTGGTTTTCTTGTTTTAAATGAACATCCAGAAACTCCAAAGAAGCATTCAGATCATGTGACACACCACATTTAGAGTAAGAATTCAGGCACAAGTACCCTCCATGTTTTCCCAAGAGAAAAAGATGTCACTTGTAACATGATGGCTTGCTTGTTGGGGTGTCTATCCTGCCCAGTTCCCAGTCATTAAGTCCCAAAGAAAATCACACAGAGGTCTCCAGAAGATTATAAACTGATTGGCCCATTAGCTCAGGCTTCTTATTAGCTCTTGTAGCTTATATTAACCCATTATTCTTATCTATGTTAGCCACATGGCTTAGTACCTTTCTCAGTGGGGCAGGTCACATCCTGCTTCTTTAGTGACCTGGGTAGGACTGGGAGGAATGGGCTTCCTGCTTCCCAGCATTCTCCTGTTCTCATTGCCCCACCTTTACTTCCTGTCTGGTTGTCCCACCTATACTTCCTGCCTGGCCAATCAGTATTTATTTAAAACATGATTGACAGAATACAGACAGTTCTCCCACACCACTTGGACACGCGCACGTGCACACACACACACACACACACACACACACAAACCTGGGCTCTGTGCCAGCTTTGGTCTCTCTGTGCAGAGTCTTCAGTTTCACTCCCAGGCTGTGGATGCTGGAGCAGTTCCTGCCATGAATGTCCCATGTATGGCTGTACACGTTTCTCCAGGTAGCCTCCCAGCCGTGGTTAAGTGGAGGCACCGAGATGATGCTTTCTTCTCCTTCTCACTGAAGCTGGGGGCCCATTACACACTGTTGGAGCCCATAAGAGCCCCCATATGCGCCTATGGGAAGCAGGGACTTGGCGTCTGTCTGTGTTGATGTGCTTTTCATGATCTCATTCCCAGGTGATCTTGAGAGAGTCCTCCCAGATGACCTGGGGCTTCAGAGAGCTGGTGCTGATGCTGTACCCCCATCCCTCCTCTGCCAGGGGATAGAGGTCCCGGCCCACACACTGGACCCCAAGTACCAGCGTGATCTGGTGGCCAGGGGTGGCCAGGAGGTGTACCCATATCCCAGCCCCCTCCATGCAGTGGCTCTCCAGAGCCCGCTCTTTGCTCTGCCTAAGGAAGTGCCACGTTTTGACATCTGCTCGCCTTCCCCGGAGCCTCCTCTGGTCCCTGTTGATCAGAACAGGACTCAGGCTGGGTCTATCCGCGAGCTGGGCTCGGCCGAAGCCTACATCCACAGGCTGTTGCGTCTGCGGGGCCAAGAGCTCCCTCTGCCGGATGAACTGCAGGAGCAGGGAGGGGACACGGCTCCTTTCCCACGGAAGCCATGTGGCCAGAGGTCAGACAGTGGAGGTCAGCTTGAGAAGTTGGCCTACGGAGTGGACAGGGGAGGAACGAAACCAAGTAGGGATGCTGCCAAGGACAGCCTCAAGCAACAGGGGCCTGTGTCCCTTGTGGATACTGAGCCCCTCAGCAGCCCCCTGCAGGAGGAAAGCACATGCTGGAATCACTGTGTCCACGGAGACAGTTCTGTAAGTTTCTCTCTCTGCTCCCAGGCCCAGCAGCCCCACAATGACTATGGCCAAGGACAAGCCCTATCACCATCCAGGGTACTGGGTCCTGAGAGCCCCCCTCTGGACCCAGGGCCCTTTGCCTACCCTTCTTACACCACTGGTGAAACCTCCCCAGTGAGGCTGAGGATGGGATCTCCCCAGAGCAAGGTGGTGAAGGTCAGAAGAAGAATCAGTGATAAAGTGCCCAGGCTGGGGAAGCAGCTTCCACCACAACCCGAGAGACAGCAGGGCACCCATGCTGTTGCATTGACTCCAGAATGGGGCCCCTCATGCAGGCCCCAGCGGGGAGGGCTCAGCAGGGGCCCCACACTGGCCAGAGAGCCTCCTGGACGCTCCTGCTCTGAGTCCACCCTATATCCTGTGCCCTTCTTTGTCCCCCTAGTGGTGGCCCAGCAGGAAAGTTACCCAGCATCCCAAGTTCTGTTCCCAATGGAGGCATCCCCCCTCAGCTCCGCAGCCAGGCGGAAGCAGCGCAGGTGGCAGTCTACTACAGAGATCTCAGCCAAAGCCCGCTCGGTCAGCCAACCTGGGCCCAGCTTGGGTCCCCCTAAGTCCCCAATCAGGAGAGTAGGTGGTCCCCAGGCCCAGAGCAGGCCCGCACTTGCCCGTCAGGATGCCTGTGTGAGGAGCGAGTCCGACCCTTCGGAGCACTCGGCAGAGTGTGCCTCGCTGTTCCACTCCACCATTGCCGAAACCAGCGAGGATGAGGAAGCCAGTGACCACACTGCCAACCGCTTCGGGGACGAGTCTAGTAGCAACGATTCCGAAAGCTGTGTCCAGAATAGCCGCAGTGGCCTGGGGAGAGGCAACGCACAGGTTGGGCAGGGGGAGCGGGCGTGGCCTCGGGTGCCGCCCCAGCAGTCGCTACGGGCCCCAGGAAGCTCCAGGCCACCGCTTCCCCCTGTGCCCAAATTGTGCCGCATCAAGGCCTCCAAGGCCCTGAAGAAGAAGATCCGCAGGTTCCAGCCAGCAGCCCTGAAGGTCATGACCATGGTGTGAGGCCAGTGTTTTAAGCCTAAGACCCCAGAACGCGCAAGGCCCTTCCACACCATTTGATGAGGAGGCTGAGGGAACCACACTGTCGGCTTGAGGTTTCTCAGTCACCCTCACTGTGGTTGTAAGTTCTCTCGGGTGAGTTTTCACCCAGCCGTTTTCATTGCATGATTCCAGCTGCAGCTTTGCTCTCCATCACGCTCTGGCTGGTATGTGGGGAGAGGTCTCTAAGAAGGCATTCCTTCCCAGAGACGGCTTAGGCCTGTCACATCCTGTTCGGGGGACCAGATTTGAATTCAGCTTCACACTACACTCATATGATAAATGCCTGCACGATGCTGATGTCGTACCAAATAAAAGAACCACATTCCCCTTCTGCAGCCGCTGTCCTGTCTGTCTGCCTTCCTAACATGGGATGTGCACTGACCCAAGGGAGGAAAGGCTTTTTGAGAGTAGAGCCTAAATTCTGGATTCAACACAGGTGAATTGAGTAGGAAAAAAAATTTTTTTCACCTTTTTTTGTCTTTCGTTAAAAAAACAGTCTCCTTTCAGAGGATGAGGATGATAGGTTTTCAACTCAGCTGTTCAGAGCCGTACTCAGAGGCAGCCTTCTCCTGGATCCAACACGCTGCCCTGGAGGGGATATGGGGGTGCATCTCATGGGGTGCCTGCCCTTCCCCTGCACACTTCGCAGAAGCCTTGAAAACGAGGAGACAAGAAGACTGTCTGAAAATACTGGGGCAATGACGTGTCACACTTGAGCTAAATTTTTCTGTCACAAGAGCTTTGTATAGGGCGAAAGGTGGAGAGAATTAGTTAACGTTCAGAACAAAGACATCAGCCTCCCTCGAGCGGGGAGGGAGAGAATGGGAATAAATGCTTTGGGGGTTTCGAAGTGAAAGAAAACAAGGGGCTTTTGGTGCCACCCACTGCAACCTGCAAACATTCTGAAGGGGCCACGAGAACAATCTCTGAAAAGCAAACATTCCAGTATCCGCCTTGACTTCCTGCCTTTACCTCCTGGGATTGCTCGGGCCAAGGCATCTGTCTCCCTCCTAATTTCATGGAGTTTAAAGGAACAATAGAAGCCAGCCATGACCCGGGGTTTTATTGTAAAAGGTAGTTTTTCCATCGCTCTAACAAAATGCCTGGCAAACTTAAGGAAGAATGGTGTGTTTTGGCTCACGGCCTCAAGAGGGTTCCATCGATCACACAGAGAAGGCGTGGCATGGGAAGGCAGTTCACATCATGGTAGGCCAGGAAGCAGAGAATGGAATGGATGTGGCCCGAGATGATGTACCCCTGAGGACCAGCCTCCAGTGACTCAACTTCTCCATCCACGACTCGCCTACAAAAGTTCTCAGTCTCTCCAAATATCACCACCAGCAGGGGATCATGTGTGAGGAACGTTTCAGATTCACACCATAGCCTTCTGCCCAGGGCCCTGAAGTCTTCTCACAAAGTACATCGAGTCCACTCTCAAAGAGTCCCCACAGCCTTAATGGGTCTAGTGTCGTTCAAATGTCTTGAGTCCAGAGATTCATGGCAATCTCTTAGCTGTGAGTCCCAGAAAAATTAGATCTGTATGCTTCTAATACACAGTACATAGCACTGGCTGTGTCGCTAACGTGATCTGATTCATTGCCTCATTCCTGAAGTGAGGGGAAGCAGATTTTTGGTAGAACTTTCACCTATGAAAGCTACTCAGAGTCCTGATGAAGCTGTCTGGGGCCCTGCCCAGACCCAAATCTGCATCCCTGCTGCTTTTTCTGGAGAGATGGCATAAGCTCCATGGTCTTGCTGGATGTAGTCTCTGTCTGAAGCTATGCAGGTTGGGGCTCAAGTGTACCCCCATGAAATAGATGCACTTGGGCCTATCTACACATCTGTACAAGCAAATCAGGAAAGCCATACAGCTACACAGTCTGCTCTCAGCTCTCTCTGTGCCCCAGCCGTGTGTGTGTGTGTGTGTGTGTGTGTGTGTGTGTGTGTGTGTGTGTAGATGGACATTTCTGTCCCACCAGGTCCGCAGCTGTTTGGTCCCAAAGAAACACACAGAGGCTTATTTGATTATAAATTGTTTGGCCTATTAGCTCAGGCTTATTAACTAGCTCTTACAACTTAAATTAACCCATAGTTTTTGTTCATGTTTAGCCACGTGACTTGGTGCATTTTCCCAGTAAGGCATTCCCATCTTGCTGCCTCTGCATCTGGCTGGTGACTGACTCTCTGCCTCTCCTCTTCCCAGAATTCTTAGTCTGGTTGCCACGCCTATACTTCCTGCCTGGCTACTGACCATTCAGCATTTTATTTAACTAATATGAGTGACAAATCTACAGTGTACAAGAGCATTATCCCACATGTGTGTGTGTCCATCCCCCTTTTCTCTTTCTTTGTCTTTTGTCTCCTTGCAAATAAATAAATAAGTAAGTAAATAAATAAATAAATAAGTCTCCAGTCGGATTTGTGAAAACCCAACAGGAACCATTCAGAGACCAGAGCAGCTTACACATGAGGCTCAACTCCTAAATGGTGCTGGCCCAGGGATCTCACTACTGAGTAACAGGTGGGGACCCTGGGTGGAAAATGATCAAGATTCCCTCTGAAGACAGACCTGGATCCTAGGGGTCAGAGCCTGGTGGGTGGTAAGGGCTGAAACTCTGCAGGGACAGGTTCTGGGCAAGGCTACTACTGCAGGACTCTGGACATGGCTATCATTTAGAGGAAAGTGTTCAGGTAGCCAGAGAAGTTGCTGAATTTCCCTGAAGCCCCTGACTAGAAACTGGCCACACAAAGACCCTGCTTCTCTCCAGCCCACATCTGCCTGTGTGGCTGGAACTCAGACATACATTTTGATTTTCCAGAGTCAGAAACTCATTCCATGTCTTCTGCTTTCATTTGCTTTGAAGGCGGGGTTGGGATGGGTGAACACATTGTAGGAGATTCCACCAGGGTCCTCTGGGCCTTCTGAGCCACATCCTGTGGCTCAGACAAGGACAACTTCCCCACCGGAAGAACTCGCTTTCTTTAAAACGGGAATCAAGTGGTGCTATAGGGCTCAGGATGAGAGGCAGGCTGATAATGTCAGAGCAATGGCCTCTCTGGATTAGCAGAGTGACTCCACCCACACTTCCTGGTGCTTTCCCCAAGGTGAGGAGTCCCCCAAGTGCTCGGGACATACTACAACGTCAGGGGGAGTAGACAGTCTGAGAACACAGGCAGTGGGGAGCATCGTGACACACAGAGGCAGTGGAACCGGGATGCAGAGCCTCTTTGAAACAGGTACGATGGCCACTGCAGAGCTCACATTGAAGAGGCTCAACCAGCTCCATGGCAGATCACTCTGCTTCCTCAGGCAGAATACACGGATCTCACCTGAAACGGAGAGGGACAGTTTATTCTGTAGCCAAACATGAGCATTGCCCCGGAGCTTGGATTCGGGTTACCCAAGCACCACGTCCTAAAGTGACAACATTTTTGTGCAATTTTTACATCAGCAGAATAGAGAAAGGTCATAAATCAAGGCACTTTTAAAGTATCTTCGTGGGGACATCAGTAGCTGGGTTAAAGCAAAAACACCTCTGCTATAACCTCAGACGCCATCTGACGGCGTTCTTAGCTTTGAGGTTGGTGAAATCTAAGGGGTCTGTTTGTACATTCCGAAAGGATTTACCTAATAGCCACGAAGATGGCAGGCCACATGCAGAAGTGGGCAATAAATGGCTGTTTGGAGGACTTAAGATAACTCAAGATAATTCGTCCCCCGGCCCATAAATTCCATCTCTCCACGGCAGCCACTAACGTTCTAATCGGTCAATCAGCCTTCTAGAATGTTTAACGTAGGTGTGGCTTTTTTTCTGAGAGCGTCAGTTCACATACTTCAGGGTAATTTTCTTTCAGACATCTCTACTCCTGGGGTGGCAGAGCAGGAGCCCCCTGGGCAGTGCGGCTGTGATGTGGGACTCACAGGCGCCTGGTGGCAGAGGCTGGCAGATGAGCACCCCCAAAGGGTGCAGGGCAGTCCAGCTGACGCATCTACCACAGCCTCCTCAGAAACTTTGCATAAGTTCTAGCGTGTTTGAATTCAAAAGCATCTTAGAAAAAAGAAAGCCAAACTAATGCAGAAATGAAGTATATGTGATTATAATTAGCAAAGACATTAAATACAATGTTAGCAAAAGTACTCACCTCTCTTTAATGAACTGTAACATTTGAGAAAATACGCTTAGGACAGGGGTGGCGGTAAAAGCACTGGGAGGCAGAGGCAGGAGGACGTTTGTGAGTTCAAGGCCAGACTGATCTATGCGAAGGTAGATGGGTATCAACACAGTTTTATGAGGAAATGGGTCATATCCCATGAGGGCAGCAAGGTAGATGTCCCGTGGGTACCAATGGCCACACTGGCTTCTGAGGAAAGGGTATACTTCTCAGTGATCCTGCAGCTTTGGGGTGGGCTGGAGAGAACTCTGGGTCACAAATAACATCCTGCTCCTCAAAGAAGAGCATAGCCTGCAAACCCAGCCCCACTCTGTCGCCTACGAGCAGAGGCAGGAGAAAAGAGGAGCCTGTGAGCTCATCCAGCAGCTGGGTCCTTCTGCCTGACATCCCGACATCTGGACTTCTAGGGCAGAATGTCAAAGCAGGCGATCCAGACAAGTGACTATCCAGAGCAAAGCAGTAACAACTGGAATACAGAAATAAATGTAAAATGGCCAGTATCTGTGAGATACCGCTAGAGCACCTGTGGTCTGCAATAGTGCCTGACAGCGTGGACTTAAGGCCCACAGCGTAGGTGGCTCTTTACAGCCTTTTTTCATCTGAGGCATTTTGATTGGCTCTCTGCATGCACAGGTGATGCAGGCAGGAACAGCACTGGGCATCTTCAGGGTCCCTCAACCTCCGTCCCACCTTCCCAGAAGCCTGACTGCATCGTACATGGGATTCAGGCAGTATCCTCAGAAGAATGGCCTCTTTCAAGGCCAGTGTCTCCCTGTTCAATTCCCTGGGGAAGTACTGAGAAGGAGGAGCTAGATCAGAAGCAGAACTTGGGACTCTGAGAGAGGAAACTGATGTCTCTGGTTCTGGGAACAATTCATTGTTCTTATAATCAGGACAGCAGGGACTGAGGAAAGACCCGATCTATTCAGGATTCAGCTCATCCTATTTACTGAACACTTGCTGTATATGATGAACCCTATTGGACGCTATCATGAGGGACCACTCTGCAGAAACTGTTTGGTGCAGTGAGCAGAGACCGCGTGGTAGACTTCCAGGACCTGCACCAGAGCATGCAGCTGGATGCAGAGGACTGTGGAGTATTTGGGCCCAGCCAGCAGAGTGCAGCCAGAGTTTGAGTTAGGTGAGGAAAGGAGGGAGAAGGATCCGTGGAGAAGCAGGTAAGGCTGAAAGCAGGTTTTGAGCCTGTGTGGTATCCAGGGACCAAGTTCCCCCAAGAGCATAGACGGCCACCTTCAAGGACCTTGGAGAGTAGAAATGCACAAAGGTCTATCCACAAAGAATGAGTAATGATTGTACATCCAGGGTCTCTGTACAAGGGACCCTATGGTCACTGGGTTGGGCAAATCTGCATACAATGAGATGGAAAAGCCAATAGGTAGGAACAGAAGGGCCACTGGCTTTAGGAGAAGCTAGAGGTAGGAGTTCTGGGTAGCCTTATTGAAATAGGAAGGGGGCGTGTTACTGCCTCCTGTTGGTCTCCTGTTCTTTATATCCCTGCCTATCACTGAAGATGCTAGCCAGCTTCCCGACAGCCATAGCGGGCAGCTCCTGAGGCGTGTACAGGACAGGATGGTTTCTGGGAAGGCTATAGGTGTGGGACAAGTTCCCCTCACACCTGAGGCTTGGTTGTTGTCTCTCTGTATACTCAGTTTCTCAGAAGCAGGAGGTCATAGTTAGATTTGTGTTAAGAAAGGCCCCTGGCCCCAGCAGAGGCTGAGAGCAGGAGAGGCTGTCTCAGTGAAGACCAGGTCTGGGGAGGGCACTCAGGGAACCACCCACGGTGCCCAGGCTCAGCTCCAACCCCACTGTCCTTTCTCCTGGGTCTGTTGGTGTGGGGCCACACAAAAATACCGATGTGTTCGGGGCTGCTCGTTCCCCGTGACGACTGAGAATTTGCACAGCGATAAGATCAGCTTTAGAGGGAGAATGTTCTAGTCAGGATTTTTGTTCATTTTTTAAAACGTTTTAATTACATTTTCATTCTGCTTTTTCTTTTATCTAGAGGTTCCTAATGAAGAAACAAACAGAACAGTAATGAAAGGAATTCAGCAGGCTCAAACCTTTTGTCTTAGGGATACTTGTCTCTATTTGCATACCCGTATCCCCTTCGAATTTGGAAATAGGTTTGTGTAGGCACGAGTCGTGTGTGATATGCAAATGGGCTATGTAAATCAACAGGGTGCACCCTCAGGTCTCTAGGGCAACAGAGCACCCAACAGCAGACACCATTGGTAGTTTATGCATGGAACAATCGGTGTCTATGATCTCCTGGGCTCTGAACAACATGACTTATTGCCCGACCACAGGACCTGTGCCTTGTTCAAAACAGCAGAACTCCATAGGTGGTGCACCCGCTCAGCTCTGTGCGCTGGGCCTCTTTTGTTTACATTCACTGGCTTTGTGAGAGGCTTGCGGCCAGCTCTGGGGACCGTACTCCTCTTGCACTGCCAAGGAACAACTCAAGCTCCTCCTCATACTCATCTCCAGAAAACCACGGGTGACACAGCAAAACACAGGGCATATGAGGAAGATTCAGCTTCCTCTTGCTCGTCCGCCTAACGCAGACGATGCCCAGCTGTGGAACCCCATCAGCTGCTGGCTTCTGAGCACCAGAAGACCACGGGAGATCCCACTTATCTCACGGTGGAGCCCTGGTTGGTCTGGAATCAGCTCAAAATTAGACCTCAGAATTAGAGAGATCCATTTGCTTCTGCCTCCCAAGGGCTGGGATTAAAAGTATGTGCCACCATGCCCCTCAATAGGCAGATTTTAACATATAACTTTTGACATACAGCATGGAGGGGAGAGACCAATTTATCAAAGAATTCCCACAGGCCTGCAGCTAAGAGGATGCCATCTTTTGGGTTTGAAGAGGCATTCACTAGTTCTAATATTTACAGCAGCTAACAATGACTGACATTTATTATCTGCCATTTATTTTAACAAGCACATTGATTGCTTATTAAATATGCTGAGCACGCATACAAAGCACCTCCAAGGGTCTTTCGGTGCCTGCGACAGTTCTGTGAAATGGGTGTGGTCCATGTGTTGCACCCACACTATAGTAAAGATGAAGGACCTGGAGCAGAAAGGAAGAACATGTTGTTGCTCGGGTGACTTCTTAGCTGGTGCAAGGGTGTGGCTGGGGTCAACCAAGGCCTCTGGTTTCAAAGTCAGCTCCTCTTTCTGTGGTCACGACCGCACGGCTGAAACACAGACCCATTTACAGCTTGTGGATGGTCCACTATCTTAATCCAGGCTAGTCCCAGGAGTTGCCTTTAGCTGACACTTCAGGGGTAAAGCGCCCACCTCTTCCCAGAAGAAGCCGACATCTAAGACTTTTTCTCACCCGCTCTGAGAGCTGAGGTACAGAAGCCTCGCCAAACTGCCCCCGCCCACCCCACCCCTGCCATGCCCTAACCCAACCCTTAAGTCTACCCCTGTTCTTGCCCTCACCCCCTTGTCTCTTCCCTCCAAGTGAGCCCGGCCTCAGGCAGACCCTCCTTGCACAGCGGTGGCAGAGGACACAGTCACCTGACCCCTGGGAGAAAGAACTCCACAGCTCACAGGCTCTGCCTCACTAGTCTTGCTAGTTCACTGTTATTTTTCTTAAACCTCAAAGATTTTTTTTTCTCATTTCCAAAACTGTTATCTCGTTTGACAGTCCAATCATAACCTTCATGCCTAGAAATACGGGGTGCTCTGTTGTCTGTACTCAGAAGGTCACGTTCATGAACAAATAGAGACCGTCTGTCAGTCCCAAGGGGTAGCGCTCACTAGATCTTCTTCAGAACACATGTTGCTGGGTTTCCTCTGAGTATTTTGTTTTAAATACAGCCCCGGCCTCATGCCGCTGTTGGAGCCCCACTAACGCTTGTCAGAGTTGGACCCTGTGCAACGTGGCCCATCTTGGATTCCATGTTTTAATTTTGCGGGTCATCATTTCTGCCATCTGTGTGCTCACGCAGCACTCGGGGAGGACGTGACATTACCATGGACAGGATTTATTGGGCCTGACCCGGGAAGGCTGCCTTGGTGCCTCTTGCTTCTCCTGTTTGCCTGGAGGGACAGACTCCCCACTTGGGTGGTCTGGCATTGCTGTCAGTGAGGAACCACCCCAAGACTGGCCAGGCAGAACTCTGGGTATTGTAGAAATGCACCCTGTAAGCTGCTCCCCATTTTCCTGTCCCCAAACCAAGGAGGTCAGGCATTCCAACAGGGAACAGCAGCACCTAGGGAATGGCATCTGCTAATATAACCAGCCACAGAGCAGAGGAAGGGGTCTTGCTGTTCTATGCCATCCTTGATGACAGATGAAGAGGAGCTGGGGGATGTCCCGAGGCACAGCAGGATCTCTCAGCACGTCCGGTCCACATGTTACTGTGCCTGTGACCCCAACTCGTTCATGATAAGACCCGCTCCATATTTTCAAGTTCTCTAAAATGTGAGTCTATCATAAAATAAAAACAAATATTTTACATTTGGTGCAAAACAGAATTCCTGTGTGAACAGGAGCCTTCAGGCCAGTGAGATAGGGCCTTATGACATGTCTCTCTCTCTCTTTCTCTCTCTCTCTCCCTCCCCCCACCATAAATTCTCTATCTTTCTGCTTCAGGCAATAAACTTTACATGTCTCTTGAGACACTTGTACAGGCCAGTGTCAGAGGCAAGAGACACCACAGTCCTGTTATGTCTGTATTTCATGCACACACGGGTGACAACTGAAAATCAAGTTCCTGGATAATATCCACAGAGTCACAGCAAGATAGTGAGTCAGACAGACGTGCAACCAGGCCGGCCAGCAAATTCCTCTCTTACCTGCTAAAGAGACCAGTCAGCTGTTCTCCAGCTGTGTCCTGTGGGGGTGATCAGAGTTCTGGGTCTGGGGTGAACCCAGATACCCCCTATACCAGCATTATCTTCCGAGTAATGGAAGATAAGGATCAGGCTCCTGGTGTGGAGTCCTGACCACTGAATGCTTGTAGGGTCACCCCCAATCCCCGTCGACCAAGGAGATGTTGGATGAGGTATATATGAGACCGTGTTCCACTTGGACTCAAGGCCTTCAGGAAACTGTGTGGCCAGACCTGTGGAGAGGTGGAGAGGCCTCTGTAGGCTAAGCAGAATGACAGTCACACCCACCATGGCCACCTGACAGCTTTCCCTCCACCTAGGGGACTGATGCCCAGGGAACTTGCGGTTGACTTTCTCAGGTCTTGACATCTGACCGCACCCATTCAGCTGCAATGGGAATGTGGTTGCAGAGCCCAAAGTGACACCCCAAAGCCGTTTCTCTCTCTCGTCTCAACCCCTCCTCGGCACCCTGGCTGTCCCTGACTTGAGTGAGCGACCACAAGCATGCACACACCTTCTTGTCCCCATGCCAGGTTACACAAAGCCATGATTGTATGCCACAGGCAAGACTGGACAGGGTAGCTGGCACTGGAGATAGGCCGCCGCCCTTGCTGAGGGCTCACGGTCTGGGACTTTAGACACCTCCCTTTGTTTGATGATGCTATAAACCCTGACATCTGGACGTGTTCTGTTTATCCCCTCCAGCCAAGGTTCGCCTCAGCAGGAGAAACGGCCAACTGAAGCTGCCCTGCTCCTTGGCTATTTGCACAAAGCACTTAGCTTTCTCAGAAGTGGTCAGAAGCACAGGGCTGTTGCCAGGCCTTCCAGTCTGCAAACAGGCCCAGAAAGGAGCTTCATTAAGACAGCTAACTACCTGCTGTCTCCAGTATGGAGGACAGGGGTGCCCTAGAAGGGATGCACAGACTGCACAGCTGCTACCTCAAAAGCAGGAACCCCGACAGAGGCGCACAGCGTTGTGTGGTGTAGCTGAACAGCGACAGCAACCAAGGGACAGAAGAGATTCCTGATTCAGCAGACTCGGGATGCCCAGACAGAGTAGATCGGGGCAGAGGCCGGCTCAGTCTCTCTCACAGGATGGGTGCCCACTGGCTTTGTCCCAGAAGGACATCCTTTGTTGTCACACCACTACTTACATCAAAACCCTTACACTTTCGACATTACCTACTTATGTTCTAAAAAATAAAATCCAATTTCTACCAAAAAATAATATGTTTAAATTTCCAAATTCTACTAATAAACCATTGCCATATAAAAAAATATATAATACTGATTAAAAAATGGGTTAACATTATAAAAAGGTTTCCAGGTTTAATTTGGTACTTAATAAATAAAAAACAAAAAACAAATTTAAACAATTAAAACAAATTTAACAAAAATAAATACCTGTAACTTCTTAAAATTGGTTTAAAAAAGGCTTTAAAAATTAAAAATATAAAAAAATTCTTCTACATAAATTACAAAATACAAAAAAACTATAAACTATATAACTATTAACCACAACCACTTACCCCTAGCTTAAAATACCATGAGTTATAAACTCATAACCAAAATAAAAATTTATATTTACAACTAATGCCAAGCCATGTCTAACATAACCAACCACAAACTCACACCAGAGACATCTGTCTAATAAAAATCTATTCTCATATATCTAATATAATAATTCTAAAAATCTACACCACATCAAAAAACAATAACAGTGTTAAACAATCTTTTCTATATAAAAAATAAGCCTCATGCCTAATAAAAACACATTCAAATGCAGTTTCTTTAAGCCTGACGTCTATTTGTCATTCGCCAGCTCCCCTAGTCCTACAACCCTGCCCTGTCAATCCCACTTTGTTCTCACACTCTGGACTGCAGCACACAGCAGACAGGCCCCTAGCATCCAGTCACTCCATCAGTTAGGGCAAGGTCTCCGGTGAGGACACCAGCTAGAAGCTGAGCCTGTGTAAAGAAAAATAAGCCAAGTAAAGATGGAATACACACAGAGAGTCTGGATTATGCATATTATGGTGTTTTCTTTGAAATTTTTGCCTGTAGAGAGACATTTGATTCTGGGGGCTGCTAAGTTAAACCAACATAAAGATATCTTGACTTCAAAATTTGGGTCTATGGATATGTTGCTTTGGAAAAGAGATTCTGTTTTTGTTTCTACAGAAGATGAGAACCTGTGGATTCCTTTTAGGCTAATGTGGTTTGATGGAACAAGAGCTCCCCAAAAAAGATCTCTGTGATCTCAAAAATACTTTGCTCAACAAACAGCAGGAAGCAGTTTGAAGAAAACAATATCCAAATTTCCAAAATGATTGTTTATAAAAGTTTTTATTCATTTAAAGTGGGATATGGTATAGAAATGAATACTTCACATCAGTACAGACTTTGGCTTATTGATACAAATTTAAGGTCAATTTTGTTATATATATTGCTGTTTTGTTTAGGGTATTATGTTTAGGCAGTTCTTTTAAAAATAATGTATAATTAAAAATTATAGATTAATAGGTAGTCATTTATAATAGTCAAACTTACAGTCATTTTGGGTTTTCTAGATATACAGAGATATATTTCAGTTAGATAATCTTCAAAACTTCAAAGACCTACAAAAAATGGCATTTAAATATTGTAATAACTTAGGGTTTTTCATGACAATGAGACACGTCTGCTCCTGGCAGCACCATCTACTTCAAGAGGAAGATGAGCATCGAAGAGTCTCTTTATGGAGTTTGCTAGCCATTTGGGCAATAAACTTCTCTTGACTGGACTGTTTGATGGTATACTATAAACTGGCCATGCAGGACGCACTGAAAAATGACTGCTGAACTTGCCAAAAGTAGTTGAGATGGTCCTTTGGGGTTCCGGCTGTACAAAAGAACTGCCAGACATTTTGCAGGACACAGAAGAAAGCAACTGATGAACTTTGTCAGTACAAGGCAGAGCAGACCTTCAAATTCCCTGCTTCACTGAAAAGTCTGTCAGACACTATGGGCCTGTAGGCTGACGATGGATGCCCCAACATTACAGGAGAACTTTGAGTGATTGTCCAGGAAGCAAAATGTCTCTGTCAATTCTAGAGTTTGGAAAGTTGCTTACAATGCACTTCCTGTTTACTTAGGTAATATTATACCCTTCTGGGGTCTGTGAAGACTTGAAGACAGATAGTTATAGCTTTCCATAGTTATGCTAAAAGATAAATTAGATATGAAACTTTACACTCACAAAGATAGGATAGATGATAGGGTATTTTATTTAATTTGCCAAATGTAAATGGACTAAATATTGTAACCACAATTCTTGCTTGATAATTGTTTTGTTATATGTAATTTTACTATGTTAAAGTTAAATCCTTACTTCCATTTAGACAGAAAGGGGGACATGTTTGGGATGTCATTCTGTAAATCTGTTGCTTCATTGGTTAATGAATAAATCTGTTTTGGCCAGTGGCTTAGCAGAGAATAGCAAGGCAGGAAATCCGAACCATGTGGTAAAAATACAAATTAATAGAGATGGGTTAATTTAAGATATAAGAGTTAGCCAGAAATATGATTGAGCCAGTGGCCAAATAGTGTTGTAATTAATACAGTTTCTGTGCGGTTATTAGGATCTGCAAGGCCAGGAATGAGCCAACAGTCTCCCCTTTACACCTACGCAGCTCATCTCTAACTCTCTCCTCATCACCGTGTTCTCAGTTTCCATCTCCCTGAAACACAGGACCACATATATGTGCATAGCTGCTGTGCTGCTGCTGGTGCTGCCGCAAGATGGGCACAGAAGGAAGGGCACCCAAGTTATGAGCTGTCTGTAGCTTGTGAGATCATGTAGACATTTAAATGATAATTTTAGGGATAGGGAAGTAGTGTCATTGTAGATAGATAGATAGATAGATAGATAGATAGATAGATAGATAGATAGACAGACAGACAGACAGATAGATGATAGGTAGATGAAGGTAGGATGAAGGTGTGTGTGTGTATGTGTGTGTGTGTGTGTGTGTGTGTGTGAGAGAGAGAGAGAGAGAGAGAGAGAGAGAGAGAGAGAGCAGGGAGTACAGTGAACATCATCCAACCCCATTTTCACACCCACAGAGTCCCCAGAGGCTAAACCGCAGGAGTTATAGCTCTGAAGGCTAGAGGTCCAAATGCCAGTCAGCAAGGGTTCCCCTCTTTCTCAACCCTTGTGTGCCTAAGCATGTGTGCGCCTCCAAAACTGACCTGTTGAGATCTTTTCTCCAAAGGAGATGGTGCAGAGAAATAGGACCTTGGAGAAGTGTGGTTGGGTCATGGGGTAAAGCTCATAAAAGGCTCCAGGGAGCTCCCAGCCCTTTCCACTGTGAAGACAGAGCTAGGTGTGTGTATGGCCTGACAAGAAGCCCTCACAAAGATCTTCTGTAGCCTTGAAGCCCAAGAACTGTAGGAAACCAATGTATGCTGCTTCTAAGCCACCCAGTCTATAGAACTGAGCTACGGATGACCAAGCGAACTGAGACCTGACACCTGCTAGGGACCATGCCACATGGCCACTGCACTCTCCTCATTCCCTGGACTGTTTAATGGCTGTCTGGCTTCTTATATCCTCAGCCACCCCACATTCCCTCTCCTGTCCTTGTCCTCTTTTGAGGACACCCTTGTACTGCATCGGTCCATGCTTTCCCTTCGCCTCTCAGCCAGCTTCGTTCATAGCTGCCATGGTTAGGACTTGGCCGTGCGGGGGGGGGGGTGCGAATGTGGGGCTTCTGACTGAGGCAGAGGGCACTGGGCTCCCATGACTCCTGCAGATGTGAGCAGCTGTATAGACTGGCCTCTGTAAACTGATACCACTGCCTTATCTTCTTAGCAAGATTTTTGTCTCCAGTGAGCATCTTGGGGAGCTGGGCCTAGGGTGAAGTAGGGGTTTCTGGGTGACAGCATTTCACTCTGCCATCCTGAGAATAACAGTTCAGAGAAACTCCCTGGGCAGATCGTGTGTCCGCTAAGCGAGCACCCACCACTGAGTCACAGGGATCTGGCAGGTTTCTAGTTTGGTCCAGCTTGATTTCCTTAGCTTCTCTGCTTTACACATACAGAACTGCTCTCATGATCCTGCCGTTCCTGGGGCTTAGAGATGACAGGACTGGTAAAATGTATACTACTTAACCATGAAGACCTGAATTCAACCCCCGGCACCTGGTACAAGTAGGGCATGGTGGCGTGTACCTGTAATCTGAGGAGGCAGAGACAGTGGGTCCTGGAACACACTGGCTAGCCAGTCTAGCCTGATCAGTAAGCTCAAGATGCCAGTGAGACACCCCATCTAAAAAGAACTAAGTGATCAGATCTCGAGGAAAAGCAACAAAGTTTGACATATTAACATATACACCTGCTCCCCCAACCCCTCACAGGTATACACACATAATCGATAAACAAGTACATCTGTTCTTTTTCCATTTCAGCAAACCTGATGCTTTTCTTCTGATTCTTCCCAACCATACACAGGCCTTTAGCATTCTAGTCTAGCCATGGCTATGGCTCAGCCACTCCAGGGTCTGTGTTTCCTGTTTCCCACAGACTGTGACAGGACAGCACTTCCTGCTTCCCGTGGACCGAGCACGCACGGAGAGCAGGCAGAGCCCCCTCCTCCCATCACATACCTCTGGTTTGCCGAAGTGATGTCTCCTGCCCTTGTTGCCATAGTGACAGGTGAACAGTCTTGACATCGTGGTAACTGGTCCATGCCATTCTTTAGACATAGCCAGGACTGCCCTCTGCCATAGTACCGGGGCGTACAGAGTGGCCCAGGCAGATGGTGCAGCCAATATCAGATCCCACACCGTGGTTCTTACTCCTCTGTGTCATCAGAAGCTGGGGACTTGATCCATAAGGGCTCAGCAGGGCTTCCTAGTGTCCTCCCCGGCAGGCTGAATGGGATAACCTAGAGAGAAAGCATAGCCAATCACCTCAGAGTCCAAGGTTTATGGCAGCACAGGTAAAGAAGACGCTGGTGACTTGCCCAGAGTCGCCTAGCTGGTCGGAGACTGACCAGGGTCAGCAGCTTTTGTACCACCTGAATGACTCACCCCCAACCCTGCCCTCTTCTGTGGCTTGATATGTGTGGACCTGGAACCTTTGGGTCAAGAGTCTTGCCTTAAAAGACTCCCAGTGGTGGGGGAGGAACCTTCTGGAACTTTCCACCTGCTAAGGAGTGGCTATCAAGTGAAGTATGAAACATCTTCCTATAGGAAGAGAAATATTATGGACACTCTTTGAGCTCTCTGAGCAATGACCTCTCTACAAGAATTCCATAGCACCCAGCTCTGTACTACTGGACACACTGACCACAACCCCTAGGAAACCTGTCACTGCCCTACCTGGAGTGTAGGAGACCCTCAGGAGTGTTTGCTTTCCCTTATGATGTCAGTAAGAGCATAATAAAATGCAAAAATGATGGAATATATTACATATTTTTCAATGGAAAACACATTTTTCCCAAGCCAAACATGTGATGTTGAAGAAGAATGTCAGTGTGACTTCCGGGCATGCTGAGGTTCTTGGGGGCTCTCTGCTTCTGTGGATCTCCTGAGAGTGAATCTTTTCTCAGATACACCAATCCGTGTTCCCTTCAACCCTTGGCCTGAGGCATTTCTGCTGACTTCCACAAAAGGATTTTAAAATGTGTGAAACAACTGAATTCAAAATTGGACTTGGTTAAGAAAGAAAATGATTTCTAAATCCCAGAGGCTGAGCCAGAGCCCGTGAAAGCCTCACCCTGCCAGGCTGGGTGGGGACCCAGCTGCTGAGAGATGCTAGAATCTTTAGTGACCACGTCACACAGAGGAAAAGCCGACTTTACTGTGAGTTAACCTCCTGGGGTGCAGAGAAGAGAAAGTCAGAGGCAGCACAGGAGAGCAGTGCTGGGTAGAGACTCAATGTGGGCAGGGACTGGATTCTGCTTCTGGGAGCTGGGAGACTTGGGAATCTTGCCCAGCCTAGCTGGTGTGATCTTCCTGACTTAGCAAACGAAAACGAGGGTAGAGATCACTAACTTTAAGAAGAAATTGAAAGACAGTGGTTGCCTCATTTACCAAAGAATGCCAGTGCTGTCTTGATCTTGGTCATCCATAACCATAAACTTCCAGGTCTTAAAATATGCTTATTTCACCTTGTAGGGCATTGAAATAATACAGTTGGTACAATTCCATGCACACCGCCCCCAAAGACGTGGCTCTCCAGACCCTGAGTGGAAAATGCTGGGAAGTCTTAATGCAGTGTCAAAGCTGATCACTTCTCGGTTTTGCCTTCAGCAGGGTGGAGGTTGTCTGCTAGCCCTGGGCTTCTGCCAGCAGCCAGAATCTGCATGTGGGCACAGTCTCCCTCTACTTTCACAATTACCTCTGGGAGGCTTTGAAGCCCCAGAAAATGTCCCTAAGGGCTTGTCTGAAAAGCCTGGTTTTGTTCAGCCCGTCTATTTTCAAAGCTGGCCAGGAAAAAGATATGTGTGTAAGCAAGGCACCTAGCGATTAGCGTGTACACCTGGCCCTGCTTTCTTGCACGTTCCCAGCAATGGCAGGGAGTGGCCGCCTCCTCCGGGGACTCGGCATACCTTCTAGTCTCCTTCCTTCCCGGAGGCTGCCCTGAGCGCCCCCTGGACCTAGTCAGTACTAAAGAGCCCCCAGGCGCAGTGTGGACAGAGAATCGCTGGCTGAGCTAGACCAGTGCTCAGGGACTGGAAAGAAAGCGCCCTCTAAATCCCCGAGTCTACGTTACTGCTCAGGGTCTCTGAAGTAGCTCAGGCTGCCCTAGAACTGGGCTGTAATCCCCATTCTCAGTGATTCAATATGTACCCCAAAACTCTGCCCTGGAAGAGCAGAGGAAGGAATGCCCCTGTCCTAGGTCCTGGGCTTTTCTTCTTCACTTTGTGAACATCAGAGCTCTCTGCTCTCCTGGAATGAAAACAGCGATTAGCCCCACACGCAACCTACAGGACACTGAGCATCCCTGAATTTAGATGGACCAGCCTCTGTGAGTCCCTGAGAGCCCATCAGATGGATTAAAGGAAAATACACTCCACAGCCATCAGCCCGCCAGCTCTGCCTAGCCTCCATCACCTGATGGCCAGAGGGGTGTCTACACCTGGACTAACTGAGCACCTGGGGTGGCCCTCATCCTCACAGATAGTCACCCATGCAGTGTTCTACCGCTGGCTGTGTAAACCTGTGCCTGGTGTGGCCTGTCTCAGCACTGCTGTTATAGGACTGCACACATACCAGGAAGGTTTGCTTGGCAGCACACAAACACAACTCCCCACTGTGTGCTGGCTTCTCAGCCGTAGGAAGTCTGGGAGATTAAGGTACAAGCTTAGTGTTTTTCAATGTGACTAAAGAGGCCTTTTAATCTGAAGTATGCTGGCAGTAAACAGAAATTTTTTATGAGAGCAGAAAAACATCTAATGTGATGTGGTTCTATGGCTGTCCCTGCCGCTTTTGAGCTACTGCCGCTTTGAAAAGAATAGGGCCAGAGGGACCATGAAGCAGTGAAGGCCACACTGTTGATCCCAGAAGAGGTTAGGGGGACACAGGTGAGATCAAAAGGCACAGAGGTGAGAGAGCTAAACACGCAGTAGGTCATGTGCTAAAACACCATGGCGTGTGTAACAGAGGGTCAGGCTGTACCTGATGGATGGAGTATTATGTGTGAAGCAGGAACTCAGGGTAGGGAGACTGGTGGATTGACTCCTGGGAGGCCTGGAATCCCACCATTGCTCAGGATAAGAGCCCCTGTTGGTGATCAAAATTCAGACCCACCGTCTCTCTGTCTTTGTTTCTGCAGATGAGGAAAAGACTTGGACCAGCTGATGCTCCAGCTTCAGTGGGCGCTCTCACCTGCACAGCTGAACCTGGGACATCATTTTATAAAGGTAGAAGATACATGTTACTCTTGTCCGTGTTGTTTTTTGCTGGGGCAAGTCAGTTAATTAACAAAAGCAGCAGTCATGGCCAGCAACAATGTTTCTTTTGACAGAACCACAGGCAGTTTGTCCTCAGAGCTTCCTTCTGTCTCTTCTGTTGCAGACAGGCACAACCTCCGCTGCCTCGGGGCTAGAGACACTGAGAGTGAAATTAAACAGCATGCTTTGTCTTTTCATACCCCTTGGGTCTGAGGTGTGAATGACACCCAAGCTTGCCACAGACTCCATCCATAGCAAAGGTTATCAGAGAGCAGAGAGGGCCTGCTGACCTGCAGGTGACGCGGACAAAGGACATCCAGCAGCAGGGGCCAAGGCTCCCACAGAGATCTCCTTTTCTTAAGTTAAACAGTCAATTAAACAGGGCTGGCTGAAGAGCCACACCAGTTAACCATTAAACTGGGGAGGGAAATCAACCCGCTCCTGCTCCCTGGACCACGCTGGCTGGAGCGTGACCTGTGGGTGCATTCTGGGGATCGTTCATCCAGACTGGGAAGGCAGAACGGGCATGGTTGTGTTCATCAACCTTGAAGGAGAGCCACATCTATGAGCCTGCACCCTGAGCTTCTTCAAGGCTCTCTTGTCTTTGATGACAGTCAGAGGATGGAGTTCGTGGGGACTGGCGAGGACAGACTTGCCTCTGGACCCAGGATGAAGAGTTCTTTTACCTGCCCTTGGGGTGTTCCTGGAGAGTTCTGAGCCACAGAACAAAGTTAAGAATGTAAGAGATAGGTGCTCAGAGTTTGAAAGGACAAGGACACTTCTAAATCCAGACAGTGACAGCAAGCACCCTACATTGCTAGCAAGACTGTTGCCACTGTGGCACAAAGAGAACCCCAGGGTCCCTCACAGCCTTTTCCTTCTCAGACTCTCCATGACTAAGACGGCTAGAACTAAAGCAAAGCCCCAGAGCGTGTCTTTCCAGGCAATACGGAAACCATGTACGCAGTTCCGGGTCATGGCTTCTACCAAGTCCCCACACTGGGCAGTGTGGAGAATTGATCCCTCCATCAAAAAGAAAGAAGAAAACTCTGGAGGCTGGAGAGGTGGCTCAGCAGTTAACGGAGAACTGCTCTTGTGTGCGGTTCCCAGCTCATGACTGCCCGTGACTCTGGTTTCGGGAACTCTGGCACCTCTGGTCCACTTGCGCACTTGCATACATGTTCACACCCATAGGAAGACACACATACATACACATAATTAAAACTAATAAAATTGAATCTAAAAAATAAAGAAGGAAATCTCTGGAACTTCAGAGATGAGGGAAGTAAAAGCAATAGCCATAATTCTCCCAGGCTGCTGTCCTAAACACAGACAGGACCAGCTGCCAGCACTGGGGTCCCTGATCCAGAACCCAGGGTCTCCAGACCCTCGTGCAACACCTGAGCCCCGGGCCAGGAACAACTCTGAGGGGCAGTGCCTGCCTGCTGCTGCTCCCACAGCAGAACCCAGCCCCGCCTCCCTGGCTTTGAGGTGGAAGATGGAACCCGTGCAGGTAGAATTAACACACACAACGGAGCCAGGGTGATTAACGAGTTTGGATGGAAAGGGAAAATTGGAGGAAGCAGAGCAAATGCTGCCACCGGGCCTGTAGTTACAGTTACCTCCCCGAAGACAGCAGGCCTCCGCAGCAGGCCTACCTAATGGTTCCTGGGTAAACAGGGGGCTTAGAAGGAGCAGCTCCGCCCACTCTGCCCTGTTCAGACTTGTTCCCTCCACAGAGGAGCCTCCTAGATCACAGCTATGACGGGAGTTGAGCGAGTAATTCAGCATGTGGAATACATTGCTTCACTTGCCCACATGATACTATTTAAAGGTAGATTTTTCTTAGGCTGTGTGCACGAAAGAGTTGGTTTTTGGGTTTTGGTTTTTTTGCACAAGGCTTTTCTTAGGAAAGGGGGTGGGGAGGAAACAGGATCCAGGTGAGGTTTGGGTCCTCAAAGAGAGCTAGAACCCATTTGTGCTTCCTCTGCTTTGAAGCCATCACCTTGAAGCCCTGCTCAGGCAGCCAAGCGGTTAACCTGTTTCATGAGAAAGAGGGGCTGTGT